CTGGCATTCGTTCTCAAAAATAGAACAAGAGACCATTTTTCATCTATTTGATTATTCTGGGGATTTTTCCTAGCACTAGACTTGAAGAGGAAAGCAAAGATTGGAGCCAGGATGTTAATTGTGACACTATTTGAAATAGTAAAAAGTTGGAAAGAATCTAATGAAAAATCAACTAAGGGACTAGTTAAATAAATTATGGAACATTCATGCCATGAACTACTATGTAGCCATTAAAAAGACCACGAGGATTCTCATACATTACTGGTGGGAACGTAAAATGGCACAACCACTGTGGAAATGTTTGGTAATTCCTCAAAATGTTAAACATAAAATTACCAAATGACCCAGCAATCTACTTCTAGGTATTTACCCGAGAGAAATGAAAACATTTCACAGAGGCGTCCTGGGAGAGAGCTATTATTATAAACATAAAAATGGCGCGCCTGGGTGGCTCAGTCAGTTATGCATCTGCCTTCGGCTCAGGTCATGATCTCCAGGTCCTGGGATCGAGCCCCACATCGGGCTCCCTGCTCAGCAGGGAGTCTGCTTCTCCCTCTCCTTCTGCCTCTCCCCACTGCTCCTGCTCTCTCTCTCACTCTGTATCTCTGTCTGAAATGAATTTAAAGAAAAAAAAATTAAACATAAAAAAGAAGTTATTGGGGAGCCTGGCTGGCTCAGTCAGTAGAGCATGTGACTCGATCTCAGGGTTGTGAGTTTGAGCCCCACGTTGGGTATAGAGATTACTTAAAATAAAATCTTTAAGGGAAGCCTAGGTGCTTCAGTCAGTTGGGCATCTGACTCTTGATTTCGGCCCAGGTCATGATCTCATTGGTGGTGGGATCAAGCCCCATGTTGAGTCCCCTGTTTGGGAATCCATGCTCAGCAGGGAGTCTGCTTAAGGATTCTCTCCCTCTGCCCCTCCTCCCTCCTCTTGCACGCACACTCGAGCGCTCTCTCTCTCTCTCTCTAAAATAAATAAATAAATCTTAAAATAAAACAAAATCTTAAAAAAAAAAAAGAAACCATTCGCAGGAGTTACCTCTAAATGATCAGATTCATGGACGGGGGGCGGTTCCTGTTTTATTTTATATGCTGTTTACATTTGTCTTTATATTACAAATATGATCTGTTTTTAACTTTTTTTTTTTTTTTTTTAGATTTTATTCATTTATTTGAGAGAGAGAGAGCACAGGCAGGGGGAGTGGCAGGCAGAGGGAGAGGGAGAAGCAGGATCCCTGCTGAGCAGGGAGCCTGATGTGGGACTCGATCCCAGGACCCGGGATCATGACCTGAGCTGAAAGCAGATGCTTAACCACTTAATGACTGAGCCACCCAGGCGCCCCTTGACTTTTTTTTTTTTTTTTTTTAAGATTTATTTATTTACTTGAGAGAAAGAGACAGCACACGCATGTGGGGGGGGCTAGGAGGGGTAGAGGGAGAGAGAGAGTCTTAAGTAGACTCCCCGCTGAGCATAGAGTCGGATTTGGGGCTTGATCTCAAGACCCTGAGATCAGGGCCCTGAGATCACCACCCGCATGGAAACCAAGAGTCAGTCGCTTAATTGATGAAGCCACCCAAGAGCCTCTGCTTTTGACACTTTTTTTTTTTTAAGATTTTATTTATTTATTTGAGAGAGAGCGAAAGTGAGAGAGATCACAGAGGGAGAGGGAGAAGCAGACTCCCCGCCGAGCAGAGAGCCAGTCCCGGGACCTGATCCCAGGATCCCGGGATCACGACTCGAGCCGAAGGCAGACGCCTAACTGACTCAGCCACCCAGGCGCCCCATGCTTTTGACATTTCTAAACAAGAAGGAAGCTGAAAGCATGTGGAAGCCCCACTGATGTCTTGTAAATTAGGACCTAGAGCCCCCTGGCACGCATGTTGGAAGCAAGGGGATCCCAGGAGGAGGCAAGGGCAGGAACAGGAGACGGTTACACAGCTTCTGGAACGTCCGAGCTGCACCTTCGTGGTTTTCTCAGAGGGAAAGCAGAACTTCAGACCTAGGGCCCTTTTACCTCTGATCCCAGGCACAGCCAGGAGCGTGTCCTGGGACAGAAATTGTCTAGGTATTGCCTAGGTGAAAATGTTACACCCGCTGAATGTAGGGTCCAAAAGGCAAAAGGTACAGCAAGTACCCTGCAGAAAAGCCTCCCTTCCCCCTCAGCCTTCCTCCCTGAAGCAACCAGACACCCCTCACTCATCTAAATAGCTGCACATTATGCACACGGCTCTCTCATGTGTTCTTAGTCTTGGACACCAGTCCTTAAGTGTATACAAAGCGTATACACCCCCTTCACCGTAGAGCCTCACAGGACTCTGTGATGGGGTCCCCGTCGTGCGGGAGGCCATGCTGTACTAATCAACCCCAATTAGCGGACACTTAGACGCTTCTGCACTTTTTAAAAAGAAGTCTCCACGCCCAACATGGGGCCAGAACCCGCGACCCCGAGATCAAGATACCAGATGAGTTTGTGCCAGTCTAACAAAAAAGCTCCCATTTCCAGACGTCTTGAGTGTGAGATCGCGGCTGAGGCTCTGAGGCTTTGTGGAGTTCCGTGCAGAATACTGCAGTGAGTAACTTTGGACACATGGAGTTTTGCAAGTCTACGCGGCCATGATAGGATACGTTTCTAGAAGTGAAGATGCTAGGTCATAGGCTACATTCATTTATAATTTCCATAGATGTTGCTAGAATAATGGCCATTGTTTCTCTTTGCCTGTGAGCTGCTTAGCTTTATGATTTTCCAAACACTCACTTGTGTCTGTTAACTTCAGGGCCATGAAAATTCTTCCTTCCTCCCTCCCTCTCAGCTGGCACCAAGCCAGGGGACTCAGTCTCTGGCCCTTGGAGAGACAGCTGGGGAGCTGAGAGCTTGCAGGCTTTGCCGTCAGAAACAGAGGGCAGCCCTCTTCATCCGGTGTGACCCTGTATCTGTCTTGTCCTCAGCTTCTGTTTCCATCTCTGTAGAGACAACCTGCCTCCATGACAGTCCCTCCCAACTTGCCCACCAACCAGCACTCTTCCCCGCTGCCCACCTCCAGCCCCAGGACCTGGGCTTTGCCCTCTTCCCCAAAGGAAGAAGAGTCCAGGCCAACAGAACGAAAGGTCCACAGGCTTTTTAATGGTGTGATGGCTACTTCCCTTCCAAGACCCGATCTAATCATGACAGCGGCTTCCAGGGTGTCGGGGTGGGGGTGGGCAGGTGCAGGGTATGGTCAGAGGCCATGCAGTGACTGGGAAGAGGTGGGGGAGGGTGTTACATTCTGTTTGGCGTGTAAACATTCTTCAGTGGCTTCCCTGGGGGAGGGGGAGGGCATCTCCCTGCCCCCCACTCCATGCCCGCCAGGGCTGATCCCCGGAGCTGAGAAGACTGAGCCAGGCCCCAGTGAGGGGCTGGGAAAGGGGGAGCCCACGTGCCTGGGGCACGACCCTTCTCCTGCACCCGCTTCGTGCACAGTGTGGCTTGGGAGGGGAGGCATGTTCTGGGGGTGAGCAGACCTGCCTCTGAGCCAATGACACAGGCTGTGGCGATGAGGAAGTTATAGAGGGGTGAGGTGGTGGTGGACGTGGTGGTGTGACACTCTTTTACAGGGAACGGGTTCAGGACCAGGAGGCCTTGGTGGAAGGGATGAGTGCTCGAGGGGGAAGAGGCTGCAGCTGGGGGTGGGGACACTGGGAGGTGTGGTTTCCTCTGCCTTGGATCCTTCCTGGGGAGAGGAGCAGAGTCAGTCCCCTGGTCCCCTCCCACACTCGTCCCTTCCCTTCCTCCCCCACCTCGGTGACATTCAATGACGCAGAGGCCTGAGGTCAGATGGGAGCCCTAGGGAGGTCTGGAATCCCAAGAGCAGACAGGGTTTTGCGTCTCTGCCCAGCTCCAGTGCTGTATGAAGCTGGGGGTGGGATAGGCCTGGGGATCTCTCAGGCAGCCCCCTTTTCATCCCAACACCAAACCAGGGTGTTGTTGGTCCTGGGGCAGGGGTGAAGCTGGGGGCCCTACATTCACGGTTCGGTTGGTGGCAAGGAGCAGGCCCAGGACCTGGGCACCGGGGGTCATGCCCTGGTCCCCACCTGGCAGGAGCTGATTGTCATTCGGAGAAGCTCTAGGTGGGAGGGAGTGGCCCCTCTTCCACCCCCTCTGCTGGACCCAGAGGGCAGTAGAGGCCTTGGGAGGGTCTCGGGTTGACAAAGAGGGCTCTGTCCGGAGAGGTTTCCTGAGTGTTCTGGGAGCTTCTGCGTCAGCATGAGATGGACCTCGAAGGCCGTCCACCCTGGAGTCCTCCCCTGGGCTGGATTGCAGAGGAGCCACCACCTCGGTGTGGAAACAGCTGCCCAAGCCTGCTGACTCTCCAAGAGGGGCTTCAGCTGGCACCACCAGGCTGCTTCCAGAGCCAACTTCCTCACTGGCGTCCTTCTAAGCAATGGTGGCTGGATGCTGCCAGGCCACTGGGGCATGTCGGGGCCTTTCCTCCTCTTCCTCTGGTTGCCTTGCCTTGCTCTCTGGGAACCAGAGAACAGAGGGGCCAGGCCAGGGGACAGAGGCTGAGGGTGCTGAGGATGGAGGAGGCCTGCAGGGGACCTGTCCCAGATAGACAGAGTTGGCTGTCCCTTCCGCAGCCAGTGTGCCGCTTGGCCCAGACAGAGGCGGTTGAGGCTCGTGATGAGGTGGGATGAGCCATGCAGGAGCCAGACCCAGGAGGAAGCCCCATTTCCATTCATGGAGCAGCACAGCCCTCACCCTCTGCAGGGACAACTCAGCTGCATGGGTTGGGGTTAGTACAAGAGGGGACAGGCTGAAGGCTTAGCTGGGGGAGAAGGGGACTTGGGCCGGACCCATCACACAAGCACACAATCTGGAAGTTAGAAGGGCCTTTCTGCCTTGAGTCCAGGGGCCAGCTCTCTGTCTGCCTGTTTCTGCTCTCTCTGCCCACTGGGGGGGATAACGGTCTGATCCAGCCCCCTCCCCACCCCCAGGAGGACAGAAAAGGTGCCCCGGCCTGAACTGAGTCCCTGAATCTCTAAACAGCCAGTGCAGAGAAGATGAAAACCAGCCATTCTCCACCTCCACTGAACTCAGGAGAGAGGGAAGTCGGCTGAAACTGCAGCAGGCAGGATTGAGGTTAGATGGCAAGAAGGAATTCCTGATGGTGAGGGGTCCTGAGCACTAGATCAGGAGGCCAAGGGAGGGGGTGAAACCTTTTTTAAAGCCCCCCTCCAACTTCCCATTGGGAAACACGTGCCCAGGAAGGCAGCCCCCACACACTCTATGGTTCCCACTGAGGACCCACCCAAATTTGGGGGGAGGAGGACTTTGCACCCTAGGGGTGCAGGACAGCAGCCCCCCAATCACCTGCCCACTGCTTCCGACAGGGGTGTCCAGGATGGAGCTGACTTTGGGGCTGGTCAGACCTGCCCCCTCACACCTGAGTAGACCAATGGCCCCTAGGTCCCAGCTCCCCAACCCCAGCCTGGCAGCTGAGAAGAGGCTTTTTGGCCCCTGGGGGGGAGGGGGCAGTGGGGAGGGTAGGCTGGAGCTTCCACTTCCGGAATTTGAGGCTGCCTTTCTGAAAACGGGAGTGGGTGGGCTTGGGCTGGGAGAAGGCCAGGAGGAGGGAAAGGCGCCGCAGGAGGTGTAAGCAGAGGTCCCTGGGGGGAGCACGGAGAGCAGCAGCGGCCTGGCGGGTGGGGGCGGGGGACGTCCCCATGAGTGGAGTCCTCGGTGAAAAAGTGGCTGAGCCTTCCCCGGGGCGGAGGGTGAGCCTGCCCCACCCGAAGGGCGGCAGGGGGAGGGCAGGGGTCACGGAGAGGGGGCGGAGGACCGGGAGGCGGGCCCTCCCCCCGCAGCGCGGCGGCCCCCTCGGGGCCGGGCCGGCGCGCGTCCTCGCGGGTGCAGGCGGGAAGCTGGGGCCGCGGGTGGCGCGCGTCAGGCGCGTAAGGCTGTGCTGGGAGCTGTTTCAGTGTGGCCGGCTGCGGGTGGGGGGCCGGGGTGAGGGTGGGGGGCCGCGGAGAGCCGCGCGCGTCATTATCTGGCCCCGGCCCGGCCCTCCGCGACCCCCGCCCGGCCTTTGGTTGCTGCGCGCTGAGTCTGGAGTTTCCCTCTGGGTCCTTTCTTGGGGCCCCCCGGGGAGGGGGTGCCATCAGGCTGGGCCCGCGCCTGCGGGGCGCCCCGGGGCGGGGGCCCCGCGGGCCGGGCCTGGTGCGAGGGGGAGGAGCTCTCCTTGCGGGACAGGGACTGGCTCCGGGGGGACGCGTTGGGGTGGCGCGGCGCGGCGGAGGCGGAGGGGCCTGGACTGCGCGGGGCGGGGGGCCTGGCGCCGGCTGGGGCTCTCCCGGGCCCCGGGCCCCGGCCGGGGGGCTGTTTGGGGCGGAGGTCAGCAGCCACGGCCGACCCTGGAGGCTTCTGCAGCTGGAGCCTGCGGGACGGAGGCGGGGGGCGGGCGGAAGGCAAGAGAAAAGAGGAGGGCAAAGAAACAAAAAAGGAGAGACAAGTTTCAGAATCGCTGAGCACTGAGCCCTGGAGCCCTGCGTCTTCGGAGCTGGGTGAGGCTGTGGAGACCAGGGCACAGGTGGATAAACTAGGGCTGGTGCTCCATCCTCCAGGGCAGGACCTCTAGGGGCCACACACTCCCGGGCTGCTACCTGAGAGCCTGCTGCAGGCTTTCTTGGACCTGTTTCATCTTTAAAATTCTCATGGAGGGGCGCCTGGGTGGCTGAGTTGGTTAAGCAACTGCCTTCGGCTCAGGTCATGATCCTGGAGTCCTGGGATCGAGTCCCGCATCGGGCTCCCAGCTCGGCAGGGAGTTTGCTTCTCCCTCGGACCCTCTCATGCTCTATCTCATCCTCTGTCTCAAATAAATAAATAAATAAAATCTTTAAAAATAATAAAATAAAATAAAATTCTCATGGATTTTACATTCTACTCTATCACATACCCGTTTACATATGAAGAACGTTTTCTCGCAACGACTCTGGTCTTTATCCTTTGGCCTCAAATGCCTCCCGGCACACCAGAGGCTGTGTGTGAGTCTCACTGGCCCCCATTAACCTTTCCCAAGCTTGGCCTCCCTGGCGACCCCTCTAGACATGTGCACTGTAGCCACTCCCTTGAGCCCAGTGACAGGGCTGGAACCTGAGTCAGAAAAGGCGCTTGGTTGGGGAGGTGGTGAACAGGAGGGGTGGCCGAGGGTCCCTCCTGCATCCTCACTAGGCCCTGACCTTGGCTCCGGGGAAGCTCCTGCCGGGGGAGGCCTTCTGTGGTCACCCTCCGCCCACCCTAGGGCTGGCAGCCGTTTCTCACCTGCTGGTGATGGCTGTGTCGGAGGCGGGGGCAGCGCCATGGGGGCTGCCCGCGGACTGCTGCTGGGCCGCGGCGGGCGTGGGCATGCGGATGCTGATGGGGCGGGGAATCCGGCTCCGGGTGGCAGCGGCCCCCCCGGCCTTCCTGGGGGCAGCGGGCTCCGAGGCAGGCGTGTCCTCCTCGGAGCCCGTGCCCGAGAGCGTCTCCGAGGCCCGGCGCTGCTCCTCACTGGAGGAGGACGAGGCCCCAGAGGCCAGCCGCAACAGCAGGCGGCCCTGCCTCTTCTCCATCACCAGCCTCGCCAGGTCCTGCTGTGGCCGGGCCCTCTTGCCCCACCGCTCTCTGGCGGACAGGGAGCCGGAGGGCTCCGAGCCCGTGTCCTCCTCCGACAGCAGGACAGGGATCCGGCTCCTGGGGCGGGGGCCTGCCGTGGCATGGCGGCTGGGGGAGACGGTGGCCAGTTTCTCGGGGCCTGGCTCCAGCGGGGGCGCTGGGGCCGGCCCGTTGGCAAGGGCTGGGCCATTGGGCAGTGAGTCTGTGGCCGCCTCCACGGGGATGTCCCCGGGGGGGCCAGTCGGAGCACAGCTCTCCAGCCCTGCCTGGGCGATGCCGTTCTCCAGGGGCACGGAGGCCCCCTCCTCCACAGCCCTCCCATCAGAGGGTGCCTCCAGGCCCAGCTCACCCCCAGGGCCCAGCTCCTCAGGCCGGGAGGCTTGTCCACCGGAAGACATGACATTGAGGTGGGTTTTCTCCGCAATGTGCACAAAGGTCCTCTCAACTTTGGTGAAGGGTGAGGAGGTGACTGCCACTCCTCCTGCCCCTGCGGTCACTGCCCCGGCCCCTGGCCCTGTCCCGGGTCCAGGGGGCTTGGGCTCAGACTTGAGGACAGAGGACAGGGTGCCCGGCTCAGACACGTCCAGCTGGCTGCCGGTGGGCTGGGGCCGCTCTTGCTGAGGAGTGAGGGCAGCCAGAGTGCCCAGGTCAGGGTCGGGGGCCAGGTCGGCGGCGACGGGCGACTTCTTCATGTCGCCAGGGGAGACGAGCACCAGCGTTTTGGAGCCCTCCTCAGGCTCCAGGTCCCCGTCGGCCATGGAGGCCCGGCCCCTGGACTCCTTCTGGTCGTCAGCCAGCAGCGTGGATGGGGCACCCTCCTGACTGCGGTCCGTGCTCCTTTCACTGCCATCACTGCTGCAGCCGCTGCGAGGCCCCAGCACCTCCCCTGGAGCCACTGCCTCCTCCCCCTCCTCCCCTTCCTCCTCCTCCTCGCCCTCCTCCTCCTCCTCCTCCTCCTCGTCTTCCTCTTCCTCCTCCTCGACTTCCTCCTCCTCCTCTTCCTCCTCTTCCTCCTCTTCCTCCTCTTCTTCCTCCTCTTCCTCTTCCTCCTTCCCATTAGCTTGGGGCTGAACTGTTGCCAGTGGGACCTGGGGGGTGGTGAGCAGCATGTGGGAGAAGCCCACCCTCCGGACCCTGTTGAGCAACCGAGCCCGTTCTCGGTAATCAGAGAGATCTTTCTTGAAGTCCTGGTAGGGCAGGCTCAGAGGCACAGCTCGCGGGAGACCATTGACCTCAAACGGGGGCGCCACGGAGAACACCTGCAAGGGGCACACACAGGGACTCGCTGATGTCACCCGCCCTGCAGGGCCCAGCGGCTCGGGGACTGCACCCACAAGCCGGGAGGCCCATGTGCCTAGGCGCATGCACCAGAGTGTGTGTTCCGTGAGGATGGGCACTGGGTCTGTTTTGTCCATTGCTCTATCCCCCAAGGCCTAGAAGGGTCCCTGGCACGTAGTGAGTGCTCAGGAAATCTCTGAGGAAGGAGTGTGTGCATGCTCCATTTCCCCTGAGGTTTCTCTGTCTCCCGTCTCCCATCTCCCTCCCATCTCCCTCCCTCTCCTCCCCAGAGCCAGCTCTAGTTCAGTCAACAGAAGACAATGACACCTGCAAGGCGTCAGAGCCACCATGTAGATCAACTCTCCCTTTGACAGAGGAGGAAACCAGGTCCAAAGAGGAGCGGCAAGCGTCCAGGTCCGGACACGGTTTCTCTGCAGCCAGGGAGCTGGCCGCCAGGGCCATCAGAGCCTATGCAGGACCAGGTCCAAGTTCGCCTGCTCTCCACACCCCCAAATGCAGGCTGGGCGCCCCTGGAGCTCCGCCCCCCCTTCCCTCCTGCCCCTTCCCAGCCTGTCGGTCAGGAATTGTCCAGCCCTCTCTGGGTGTGTGTTAAGTGCACACCTCATCCGGGAATCCGCAGCCAGCTTGTGAAGGGCAGTTTCTGTCCACTTATTAAGTTTTCCCCTTTTGAAGCTTTGGGCTGAGCCCTTGGCAATGGGATGGCCTGTTCTCGGCTTTCTGGACTCCTGCCACGTCTCCCCTTAGCCTCCTTCCTTCCAGACTAGAAAAGCCTGATCACCCTGTCAGGACCTCAGCGCTTGCATCTCCTCCAGCTCTGCCCTAGTCCGCACACGCGCGCACACGCACAACTCCCAGCACCCCCAGGGCACCAGGCCTCATCGGGGCTGACACCGCTTTGTTTCAGGTGGGGAGGGTGCTGACGGCGTCCAGTGCTTTGTCGGCCTTTCTGAACATGCTGGACCTTGTCTTCCTAAACACAGCCCATCCAGATCGGGAGCCCCAGAGATCTGACACCTCCAACACCTGCAGGTGCCATCCAGACTTGCAGGGAGTCCTGCTGAGTATTCTTCAACATCTGAGTTTGCTGCCTCAGCTCCAGGGGCACAGCCCTATCCTGCCTGGGGCTTCCCCAGCCACTGGCCTGTCTTCTCCTGCCCGCATTGCCCATCTATCCTTCCTACAGCTGCTAGAGTGATCTTCCCGAAACTTAAAGCTGATCCTATCTCTCTGCTTCAAACATGCAGCAGCCTACAGTAGCCCCCATGGTCCTCAGAGGACAGTTCCAATTCTTGGTTTGGCACGTGGCAATGCTGCCCCGCCCTTGTGGTCTGGCTCCTCCCTTCTTCTCTGACCTCACTTCTAGCAGCACCCTGGGATCCCTGCCCTGGGCGCTTGCCATGCTGATGCCCCCGGCAGTTCCCTAAGTGCTCGACACTTCTCACACCGCTGTCTATCCCTCTGACTGGGGTCCCTGTCACTCCCTCTATTCACATGACAAATACCTGTCCTTCCTCCAGGACTGAGCTCAACCAGCCTTCCAGAAAACCTTCCTGTCCACCTGCCGAGCAGGCATCATCACCCTCCTTTCTACTTGTTTTCCCACATCCTTCCACTAGAGGCTTCACTGAACCCCCTTGAGGGCCTGGCCTTGCCTTTTCTATCTATCTATCTTTCTTTCTTTCTAGAAGAAGTCCTGGAATGGCTACTGTCCTGGCCACCATGGTAGAGGCTGTGAATCTGTGGATCACGTATCGAACAAGACAGATGTGGTCCTTGTTTTCACAGAGTGTAGCAGTCTCTCTATTAGGAAATGAAATGGGTTTGCAACGACGTGGATGGAACTAGAGAGTATTACGCTAAGCGGAATAAGTCAATCAGAGAAAGACAATTATCATATGATCTCACTCATATGTGGAATTTAAGAAACAAAACAGAATATCATAGGGGAAAGGAGGGGAAAATAAAATAAGACGAAACCAGAGAGGGAGACAAAACAACCATAAGAGACTCAGTCATAGGAAACAAACTGAGGGTTGCTGGGGGGGGGGGGGGCAATGGAGTGATGGGCATTAAGGAGGGCACGTGATGTAATGAGCACCGGGCGTTATGTGAGACTGATGAATCACTGACCTCTACCTCTGAAATCGATAATACACTGTATGTTAACTAATTGAATTTAAATGAAAAAAAAAACAAACCCACTACATTTGACAAAAAAAAGGGGGGGGGAATGAAATTGGGATAATGCGCACTCCACAGAGGTTGTGATCATAAATGAGGTCAGATAAGCAATGGGTCTGGCATATAGCAGTTGCTCAATAAATGTCAGCTCCCTCCCACCCTGCCTCCCGCCCATTTGCCCTGCTCCTCTGCTTTGGAGATCACTGCTTCCCCCTCCAGCCCCAGCAATGCCTGGATGCCACACCCATGGCAGAGAGGGTGGTGAGAAAAGGAGGGGCTCTCTCAGCTGAGGTCTCTGTGCAAACAGCCCAAAGGTGGGTGGAGGGGAAGGCAGGAGTCCCCAAAGCTGAGGATCTGCCCAAGGCTGTGACTTCTCCCTTCCTCAACTGCCATGATCTTTCTCATGATCAGACCATCCAGGAGGACGTGATGGGGGGGGGGGTGCAAGATGGGGTAGCATCAGACCCCAGACAGGACCCTTGCCCACCCTGTCTGAGCCAAGCAGGGGACTTCCTTAGAGCTTTGTCTTCTTCACATCCAGGCCAGAATTCCCCAGTAATCGTTCTCTTTTTCTACACCCTTCATTCTTCATTCATTCATTCATTCAGCAAACATTAAGCCCTGGTTCTGTGCCAGGCTGTGTGCTGGGGCGCTCTGCCATGTTTAGTTACCAACAGTAAGGCTCAAGATGACTAGCAGAGGTGGAGGGGGTGCTGTGAGATCCTGGGTGAGTCGTGACCATGGCGTATGTGCTACAGACACGGAGCTCTGATCATGTCTCCCTCCCTGTCCAGCTCAGAAATCACCCACCCAACACCAGATGCGTCCCACCCAGCACCTCTGCCTATTTTCCCTGTCCCACCTCTGACACTTGGAGCATCCCTGGCAGAACTACCTTTTTCTCTGGCCAGGCCCCGGATCTCTTTAGAAAAGCCCCATCCATAGGACGGACCCTCCGCTTACAGTGTCCTTGTTACATGATCATAGCTGGAACCCTCTGAAAGCCCTCCCCCCCCTTCTGTTACACGGGAGGGGGAATGAGGACTGAAATCAGGCAGCAGTGACAAGGTTAGATTAGGACACAGCCTGGAGAGAGGCACGCCCTCTCTCTCTGGCACGCCCACTTCACAAAGCACATCAACCAAGGTGGCTCGGAACCCCAAACTCTTTCCATCGCCTCATTGGCCTCCCACCTTCCCATGCAGGGAACCTGGGACCCTGTGCCCTTTAGCAGGAAGAGCCATGAACCTCAGAGTGGGGACAGCTTTGCCCTAAGTATCACTGACAAGCCCACGAGCATCTGGACCTGCTGGGTTTTCCATTTCAGAATCCCTCCACCCGGGCGCCTGGGTGGCTCAGTTGGTTAAGCGACTGCCTTCGGCTCGGGTCATGATCCTGGAGTCCTGGGATCGAGTCCCACATCGGGCTCCCTGCTCGGCAGGGAGTCTGCTTCTCCCTCTGACCCTCCTCCCTCTCATGCTCTCTGTCTCTCATTCTCTCTGTCTCAAATAAATAAAATCTTTAAAAAAAAAAAAAAAGAATCCCTCCACCCCTCCCCATCTGGCTCCTTGTTGGGGAGGGCAGGCCTGGGCTCAAGGTCCTCCCTCCTCAGAGAGTGGGAAGTCCTCCTTCACCCTCTCCCAACCTCTCCTGAATGCCCGTGCCCAGCAAATATTCAATCATTCACCCACACCATCCTGTGCTCTTTCATTCAGCCAGTGATCCTTAGATGGCCTCTGTGTGCTTGGTCCAGTAGGCTTGCAAACACCACGGGAGGGGGACACCAGTGACCCCCTCCCATTCCAGCTCAGAGGGCAGCAAGTGTACTGGGTGTCAGCAAGGGGAAATCAGGGCCTGGGGGAACTCACACCTTCCTACTCCCTTCCCAGAGCAGCGACCCTTTATGATTCCAATTTGCTTATTGTGGTTCTCCAGCTTGGCTTGGCGCAGCATTATCTGGGGGTGCTTTTAAACCTGCAGAGCCCTGAGTCCTACTCCCCCTGCCCCCAGATTCTGTAGGTCCAAGATGAGGCGCAGAAATCTCTCTGTTTTACAGCTCCCTGGTGATTCTGATGGGGTTTGGCCAAAGGCGGATGTGGTAGGGGTCAATCATAGAGGAGGGGAGGCAGGCCACTGGAGCTGAGACCCTCAGAGAGAAGGAAAGCCCTAGCCCTCCCCTTGCCTCCACTGAGCCCAGACCCAAAGGCTGTGGCCTCACCAACTTCAGAGCCCCGCCAAGTCCATGTTTACTCCAGTCAGCAGGGAAAGCGGAGGGAGGTGGATGGACCAGACTCTGATCTTTCGATGCCACCACAACCCGGCTCTCCTCAGCCTTGACTTGTCTGACACCAGGGGCGGGTTAGTCTGCACACCCCCGTTCCCCAGACAGAGTACAGAGAGCGGCTCTCCTGCTTGGACCCTGGCCAAGCCCAGACACTGCACACTGCACTTAGGCCCACAGTCCCAAGGTCAAAGAAGGGAGGCTGCTGAGTGACCAAAGCCGGAGGATGGGCCCTGACCCCTTCCCCCTCCCCAGCAAGCCTCTCACAGCAGTGCGCCCCTTCCTCCTCCCTCAGCAGCCACCCCAGGCACCCTTCCCATCTCTCCTCCTCCCCAGGGGAGCCCCCGATTGCCATCATTGCCCCACAGGAAAACAGAAGAAGTCGGCAGCGCAGCCCCCTCTGCCCACCACCACCTTTCCCAGATTTCTCACCTGTCTGTCTGTCTGGGTCTGCACTCTCAAACCACATCTGCCAAGCCAGGAGCCCTCCCTCTGCTC